GAAATACCACGGATACCTTCAAAATTGGCATGAAAACACCATGACTTGGCTTGATTCATTGCCTCAAGCTGTACTGTCCACTCTTACAGCATTCGAATTGAGATCACTCCGCTTCTACAGGAAAAACTTACTGGTGTCAACGCTGTTTTCGCTGGTTTTCTTTGCGATGTTTGAACGTTTTGAACGCAAGACGCCATTCGTTGCATTCGTTGCATTCGTTGCATTCACCATGGCGTTGCAGGTGTCAGCGGCTGCCGCGTCCATCGCTGTCACGAGGGCGATCGGATCATGGCTGGCAAGATCTTGCCGCTGGGGCCAGCCACCTTCCCCGATATGGTGGAGGATTGGGAGAATGAAGTGGCTGTTTTCAAAGCCGCCGGAGAGCACCCTGGCCTACCGGAAGGTTGAATTTGACGTTTATTGGATATTGCAGTGCCTTTTTTTTATGAAGACAATGTTGAAGTGAAGTTTTCTAACTTTGAGTTCATATGTGATCCCTATTTAGTTTAACCTTTAAGTCACATGCTTTATAAAACGCGAAGCATGATGTTTTTTGGGACCGCCATTGATAGGCATCCGGCGTTGGTATCGTTTTTTGGTGCTTGGAGCACTAAACGCTTCATCTTGGACAAGCAGCAGCTCAAGGCACGCACGGTTGGAGATGGTTGGAGGAAAATAATTCAAAAGAACATGGGAAAGACGAAAACAATAGAGATACTTGAGATAGCACAAGTTGAGAGTTATCTATAGTTATCTGAGAAATCCTTTTGACATCTAAACAGACTCCTCTTTGCTCGCTGTCCCTGAAGCATACTGGGCCTTGAATGCCCGCATCTTTTCCGCCTTGCAAGGCCTATATCTTAGGCATCGAGTTGTGCGACACGAATCTGGAAGATGTACTGCAAAAGCGCAAAGAAATGTGGGACTCCTGGGACAGATTCAGAAGGTGTCATGAGGTGTTCCAGCGTACATCTTACAGCTTAATCTTGCAGACTCAATGGAATTTGAATGGAGTTTGAAAGCATGATGACATGATGTTGGGTATATGTTGGGACATGTTGCCAAGATCGGACCTACCAGGACCTACCAGGACCTACATGCGACATCTCAAGAACTCACCTCACAACGATCCTAAGGCAGAAGCCCCTGGAGCAATCCGAGATGCTGTGTATTCTGAAGCAGGTCAGGAAGTCAGGAAGCGTTGAAACAAAATCAGAATTTCCTTTTACGGCTCCTGGAAGCCGAGCTATGAGCCACAAGGTGTGAAGAAGGTGATGCATAAATCGAGTGAATCTACAGTAGAGATAGTACAGTTGGTGTTTTAAAAAATCGTGGATTTTCAAAAAGGAGAATCTGAGAAGGGAGAACATGGAGAACTGAAAAGAACATGGAGAAGTGAAAATGATATGAAGGTGATGTGAATTTCGAAACCTTGGATCAGGGAAGTTCAGGGTTCATTTCGTAGGTCTCCAAGGCTTTGGCGCATCTTCACCAACGCCGAGTCATGCACCGAGACCTCAAAGCAGGCAACGTTTTCTTGCGCCTCGGTCGAAGGGCGGTCGAAGTTTCAAAGTTTCAACTGCTTCTGTTCTACAGTTCTCTACAAACCTCAATGTGTTGGAATTCGTTGGATTTCAAATCTGTCCATTTGTTTTCTTTGAAGCAGAGAGTGTCCTTGTGCCTTAGGTGCAAATCCGGCGACAAGGCATGGAGTTGACCGGGTTGGCACGATATCTCCCAGTGTCGGAGCACCCCGGAGCCGGAGCATCCCGGCAGTTTCGCTGTCAGGTCGATTTGGTGCTCACTGAAGCGGTCGCAAAGTTGGGAGACTTCGGTGTGGCCAAGGACGGACGCACAGTTGGACACTCCACGGAACGCCCCGTCAACCGCCCCAGGTGTGCAGTCGAGCGCAGACCCCCGCTGCTGACCCAGAATGATGAAGCTTGAAACACAATTCGTCAGTGATGAATGCCCAATCATGACACAACAAAAACCGTTCTTGGTTCCCTCAAAATAAGGTGCAGACGCCACACTTCATGGCACCGGAAGTGGCAAAGCAGAGTCTGGGGCACAGAGAGGGCACTTTTTGTGAGCTTCAAAATGACGAAAGTATCGTTCAGTCACACTATGACACTATTCTAGCAAGATGGATGGACATGTTGCAGACCAGGCATGTTATGGGGACTGCTCAATCAAGATATGAGATCTCTACTGAAAGTGGATGTCCATAAAAACTCTCCTCACACTTTTGTTTGCACCGTGTTTTTTCGTACAGAGATGACTTATGAGGCGAGTATGGTCCTGCTGCCGACATTTGGGCCTTCGGATGCTTGATGCTGCAAATGATGCAGCTTAGCCTACCTCATGGCGAGGACCTTTCGGGAAACCTGATCTAAAGCAAAGATTATGGGGTCACATTCTGAGAAATATTGAGTTCAGAGGAAAAACCGGAAAAACAACCACGGAAAGTTTCTCAAAGCCTTGTTTCTTTGATTCTCCTTGATTTGACAGTGCACCCGGTGCGCCGAGAGGACCTGACTTTGCCACAGCTTGAAGAGGCGTGAATGAAAAGTATGGAAAACAATGGAAAAGAGATAGGGAAAAAGATGGAGAAATGTGTTCTACACGAAAAGGTGAGCAAATCAGATGTTCATTATGTTTCAATGTTTTTCGTTCATACAATTCAATGTATTCAATACAGATCACATCAGATGTTACATGTAGATTCCATATAGATTACATGTAGAAATTCGATGCCAACGTCGTCAAGTCCACTATGTCTTCGACTGGGGCACCATCCATGAGAGGCCCTGCTGGCGGGCACTCCACAGCTCTCGGGGCGGGAAGAAGCTTTGGAGCGCAGCCCTAAAGTGGTCCGGATGCCCCGTGCGGCTGTGGTCGATGAAAAAACTGTGGACGGAATTCCACTATGTTTCAAACAGTAACTAATGCTCCCTTGAAACCTAAAGAGAAACATGTTTTTCACGCAGAATCTCCGATTTGGTTTTTGTATGTTTTGTTATGTGTTCAGATGCAACGCTTGCAGCAAGAGTTTTCAATCCAGGTGGCAGTGATGGACCGATGCCTTCAAAAGGCTGGGAGCGCCACGCCATGGCAATGATCAAGATGTCAGAGATGTTTGATGTTTTGATATGGATTTGTCTGACAGGGTACGAGCCTCACATTTGACCCTACCCCTCTGTGGGTCGAAATGTGAGAAATAGGCGGTTTTACTTGCGAAAGAGAGGTCGCTACTTAATTCTTCTTTGCCATGTACACTAGCGTCTTGCATTCACCCTGTGTACAACTGTGCCAATGTTTTGTGTCACCGCCGATGTAGCTTGATTAAGTGAAGTTGAGTTAGCAACCTTGGAAACGCCCGGAGAATGAAGATGGTTGGTCGTTGCACCAACGTGTCAACCACATCCGCGTGTCAACCGCATCAGCAAGTAGGTGGGAAGTGAAACGATCCGGGAGTCTAAGTGCGTTACTGACTAGTCAGTTCGGTCGGATACACATACATAATTACATAATCATACATACATAGATACGTAATCATACGTACATGACATAGGGATATTATGGGATATGAAATCTCACCTTCCGACCCTCCCTGCGTGTTTGGTGGTGCACCGATCCCCTTGAGATGGTTTGCAACCCGCGTCTCACACCCGCGTCGTTTGCAACCCGCCTGACGGTTTTAGAGCTTATTGATCTTATTGTGTGTTTCATAGCGTTGGGGATTGTCCGCGAAACGTTTTTCCCACCAATATATACCGATACTCCGTTCGCACCGATACACCGAGACACCAGTGAAAAAAGAAACGATCGGCGCAACGGGAAGAGGCACGGGCGGCAACGCACGCACAGAATTGGTTATTAGCATCCATACGTTGGCAAAATGTTCAATGTTTATCTTTTTCTTGCCGCGAATGCAGGGATTTTTTACGATTTTTACCATTGGTTACCGCGGATGTTGGTAAAATATTCGATCTTCATCTTTTTTTGCGCCAATGTATCGCAGAATTGCTTCACCACCCCAATCCCACCCCACCCTGCCTGGAGGACCCCTTAAATCCATTGGTTCATGATTACCATTGGTTAATCAATGGTTAATCAATGGTTAATCATATGATTATCCCAAATTGTCCCTGTTTGAATCGAACATATTGGAACGCTCGGGGATATATCCGATATATCCCCTCAGACAAAGCCCTTTCGGAAGGATCCAGCAGCTCGACCCACAGCAGAGCAAGTGTCCCAAGAGCTGGAAGCGCTTCTTAGCTCTACAAATTCCTCGTGAGATTTTGACCATGTGATGCCATGTGACAGTGAGATCTGATGGAATTTTGAACCGGAAAGAACTGGAATCTGGGACTGGTGTTATTTGTGTTTGTTTCCGAGAGCTTCTAATTCGCCATCATTCGGCGCAGTTTTTGTCCCACGTGAAACGTGGTGGCTTATGCTGCCAAGCAGCCAAGATTAATGGCATTTCGGTCCGGTGAAACTGGAGTCAGAAAGATTTAGTGTTAGTGACCACGTTGCGAAGTACATGGCTGTAATGAGGCAGATCAAAATGTGTCTTTGATGTAAGTGATCCTGTTTTTTCCTCAAGCTGTGTTCAAATGTGTCATTGCAGCTATTTGCTTCCAATTTTTTAGGCGAGTGTATAGCATCGGAAGTGTCGCCCCGAAAAAAAAGAGAACCAGTTGGTTTGGCAACGGATTCGTCACAGTCTCAGACAACAACTCATCCCAGGAGGAGGATTCCAAATCTGCCAAGAAGAAATACCGAATTACGCAGATGTACAGGCGCTGGCACCATTCGTTTCCAGTTCTGTTCTAGACTTTGATGAATTTGGAGAATCCAGTCGGTGTATCTAAGGTTTCGACAATTTGGAGCGGTTTCAACATTGCAACAGGTCTAGAATAGATAAAGCAATGACAACTTATTGAAATCCAGAGCTGAAATCCCCTGTCCATCCCCTGTCCAGCGCCACGATGCCTCCGGCCATCGAACGAATGGCACGCAGCTTCCTTCGGCCGGGTCCTTGAACGAAAAGGCCAAAAGGTCGAAGATTGCAGCTCCAGAAAAGGATACAGAAAGTGTTCTTTACTTTGCTTAACTTCGCTTTATTTGCTGCATCAAAGAGAGTTACGGAAACCGTTTAGGAGTCGACACGTTGGAATCCGATTTCGACTTTTCAGGTGTCCTGCTATCATCAACGTGGGTGATCCAGGGCAGGCCAAGAAGGACACCGGGGGCACAGGAAGATCCAGATCCAACGAGTGAAGTTCAGCGAAAGCCACTGCAACTCAGAAGCCACTTTGGGAATATATTTAAAATACATTGTTATATCTTTAAAATATATCTATAATATATATATACATACACATTGCGTATCATATAATATGGGTCTATAATTTGTGTATTAGTATTGGTAGTCTTTATTTTTTCTTGTTTTCTCTGGAAGATATCGGCCCAGGACATTGAGCAGAACTTGGAGTTCATTGGTGAGGTCAGAGATGCTGTGTATTTCCAGCGGACTTGCCTTGGCAACTCCGGGGCATGTGCCAGGCCAAGAAAAAGAAGCGCTTGGAAGAGATGTTGGTGGGTGCGGAGCCGCCCATTATTGTTCATGTCTCAGTGGGGAAAAAAAGTGACATTTATTATCACCCTGTGTTTTTTTTCGACTCTTTTGTGTTGAGAGTTCCTTTTCCACCATATTTCTTTGGACTTTGACGACTGAAGGTCTTTGTGAACCAAAAGAAGGCCGTGGATGTGCTGTCCAAGTGGCCTCCTAAAGACAGAGGGACATCCAGGAATCCCAGGTCCTTAGACGTCGACTTCTCTTCATCCCAGGTCCTTAGACAACAACGGCTATCGCGTTTGCTCCATCCACGGTGGAAAGAGCCAGGACGGCCTGAAGCATTCTGGGCCAATTCTGATGGATACACTGAGACTTGGGGTAGAAAGATGTAGAAAGGTTTCAGATGGTTTCAGAACGCTTTCGCAGGAGCAGCGCGAATGGGCAATGAACTCCTTCAAGGAGGGCAGGCACGCCGCTAAGATTTACACTTCCGAAGACAGAGACGCGAAACTCTAAGACCAGATTTTACGAGACAAATAATTGGCTACATGACCAGTATATGCCTCATTGCCATTATAAGTTCATCAAATGATCAACAGATATTGAATTCCATAGTATTATGGCTATATGTTATTATATATGTTATATATATGTTATATATATATATGTTATGATTATGTATCCTTATAGTTCCGGATTGTCGTTTCTTGTCAATTCTGCCTGGAAGTTTTGAAGGTACGACATTCTGGTGGCGACCGACGTGGCCGGTCGTGGTTTGGATATCGAGGGCGTGCAGCGTGTCATCAACTTCGATATGCCAAAGACCATCGAGGCTGCGAAAAAAAACTCGGGTTTTCTTTGCAAATTCTTCGGAAAACAATGGAAAACAAAAGAAAACATGGCACACGCATATATATATATATATCTATACATACACACAAGTAATGCATCTGTATGTGTGTATATCATCATGTTCCCTATTTACAACTGCCGTTTTGGGGGCTACCCCACTTTCACACCCAAGTGCAACAAAACTTTGAGCAGCGCCCAAGCGACGCGAGGACTACACGCACCGCATTGGACGAACTGGCCGAGCGGGTCTGAAGGGTTCTTGTCTCAGCTTGGAGTCACAATCACTATACCAAAACTGCGTGAAAGTGACCAGGAGATTGCCATTTTGATAGGTTACAAAGCTAACCGCCATGGACCACATTGACCACATCGACCGTACTAAGGATTGGCGATTTCCTTTGTGACTCCAGAGGACCTGAGTTTCTTTCCAGGATGTTTCTTCACAGATTCTGCCAAAGTCTGCCAAATTCTGCAGATGCCATTCGCCAAGGACTCTGAGATCTTCTATGATCTGACCAATTTCCTGAAGAGTTCCAACCAAGTCGTGATGCCCTGCATGTCTTGCCATGGCAACACCATGTGATGTCCAAGAGACCGGCTCCTCCATGGTCCACTTGGACCATGGTCCACTTGGCAGATTCCTCCAGAGCTTGCTTCCCACCCGGCATCCAAGTCTACAACCCAGTGTTGATGTGATGAAAATGACACGACAGGGACACAACAGGGACACAACACTGAAAATTGGTGAAACCTGAAGCGCTCCTATTTTTGTTGGTTTGAAAGTTTGACCTCACACTGTCACACTGAACAATCATGGAAATGACCAGTAACTGGAACCAGCTTGTTTTTTTCACCGAGGTTCAAGCCGGGCACCGTCAACGAACACGGACAGGCCGTCCAAAAATCACCATTTTGACCTCGCCGCAGTCGCCAGTGCTTCGCCGCCAGGTCATGGGTCGCAAGCTCGTGGACCAAGTGGTCTTCGCCAAGAAATGAGGCGCCCAGGTGCCTGCCTGCGGTCGTCACAGGGTGGAGAAACACAACAGTTCTGTACTTGTTCTGTACTTTTTTTGAGGAATTTCAAGAATTGTTCTGTACATTATTGTACATGTCTCTACATTCTCTACTTTGCACAGCGCACAGCCATTGCACAGCCGCCATGTGCCACGCCCTGTGGCCCTGTCTGTTCAACTCGTTATGATGTCGTCTCACAGATCTCCAGCCTCCAAGCTCAGCCAAAAGAGTCAAAAGAGTGGGCGCAGTATGTTGCGGAGTGTGTAATCTTTGAGAAGAGGTTTGTTGAGTTCTTGAAGATGACATGGGTTTTTTCGGACATAGCAGTACTTGTTTGGGATTGGGCATAATGGGACAAGTTTGAAGAGAGAAAAATTGCATTGAAAACTTGAAGGTTGCACAGAGCAATGCTCAAGCTTCTTCCCTTGAGACACGCTGAAAAGATATAGATGTTTTGAACCATGCCTCAGAGTCTCTTCATTTTGCTGTAGGTCCAATGACGACATGAAACTCAGAAAACAAAGTTGGCTTGTAATGCAGTGCAAAACAAACAAACAAACAGACAGACAGACAAACAGACAAACAGACAAACAGCCGTCGGCATGGTCCGAACATGCGACTTTCCGCGAGGCTATAGTTGGTATGTGAACAAAATGAAATTTGGCGCAACGAGCTACTATAGCCCTGATGTATGTTTGAAGCTGCATTTGTTCTGAGCTTTTCTGAAAGACAGTGCAGTCGGAATTATTAAAACACTCTCAATCTTTGTGCAGGTTCGGTGATGAGTGGCCGCAGTGGCCAACGCAGGAGCTTCAGGAAATGCTTTGAGACAAATGAATGCCCTGGCAGGTAACCTGCTCCGACGCAAGATGACAGTAATAAATTGGGGGGTGATCATTGAAATATCAGGTTATGACTGGGGAAGTACCCCTAATTAATGGTTTATTAGTACTATGGTTTATTAATGGTAATTATGTCAACTACTATGGTTTATTAATGGTAATTATGTCAACTACTATGGTTTATGAATGGTAATTATGTCAACTACTATGGTTTATTAATAAACTATGGTAACTATGGTTTATTAATAAACGGAGTTGACATGAGTACTGCAATCAACTGCACTCCTAGGCCAAGACATGGGCCGCTGCAAGGCCTTGCTTTGCATAGTGTCCCTTCTCCTCGAACCTCTTCCTTTGCTTCCTACTAACTTCCTACTGTTTCCTTCTGTTCACCAAACAGGTCTCGTCTTGCATCTTGGGATCATGCAGTTGGGAGATGTTGAAATGTATTAGTTTGAAATTTGAATCTACTTGGACTTAAGTAGTGGCAAAGCGGCCAAGCAGATAGGTGAGCTCTCGCAGCTTACTTTGAGACTGCATTGAACATCAGAAAGTGGTAGTCTCTCTAGACATGCATTGCACGCATCACAGTGAAATGCCAAAAACCGCCCCTTTCATAACCCACAGCAAACCGCTCGAAGCTTTTGTCCATTCAATTTCAGCAAACGCCAGGGATGGAATGTCTACCTCAGATAGTCTGGGGCTGCAGATTTTTCTTCGCCTGGTTTTCAGGGTGGCGGACTGTCAAGTGGAGTATCATGACAATTGTGTTCAATGTGCACTGAATCAAAACAGATATATTTGTCGAAAGTCAAACTAAATTTGCTACAACTTTGTCCCAAGCTCGCACGTGTCCCCAAGGTATCCTAGTCACACACGCTTTCCGAATTTACATAAAGATGCACTCAAGTTGCGTCTGGTCTGTTTTGCTTCAGCTTTGGCAGTTCTGTTTTTGATTCTCCCTGATTTGCCATTTGACTCCCAAGGACGTGCCAATGAAACGCTGGAGTTCCTTTTTCCAAGCAACTCTGCGGCATTTTCTGGACCTTTTCCAAACTGTTGCAGTTTCTGAAGGCTTCCCATCTAAGTCCTCAGATTCAGTGAAGCGGTCGGATGATGTGTCCTGATGTGTCCTGCGATCCTTGCCTGTCTGGAGGTCAGAGAATACACTGATTCCAATTCTCTGGGTCTCATTGGTTGTTTCTTGGGCGCAGGTTCCGTGCAAGAAGATCATCAATGATGCGCCAATGCCTGAGAATCTGACCGCGTCAGACGCAACAAAGCGTCAGACGCAACAAATCAGGAACTGAGTCAATGAGAGGTTGAGTAAGTTGTGCGTTTTTGGTCAAAACATTTCAGAGAGAGAGAGAAAAAAAAAGGGCGCCAATGACCTCTTTCGGTGTCGAATAGGTCCGTTCGATCCTTTCTGAGGTATTTCTGCGCCCACTCCTCAGGCATTCCTCAGAGGAAATTCTGCACTTTTTTCTTCAGGCATTCCAAAATATTCAGTGCAGATAGTGCAGGCTGCTGTGCCCATCTGCGGAACGCGAGGCTGGACCCCATGATTCGGCGAAACCCAAAGCGGCCGTGGACTCAGAGTCACTTAGAGTCACTGAGACTTCGAGCAGTGTAGGCATAGAGTTCCTCAATGAAACACGAAGATTCAAGAATATTATAATATTATACTATGATATGGTACATATAATATTATAATATGGTGGTATGTCAAGAAATAAGAAGATCAAGAAGATCAAGAAGGGATCAAAATTGACATAAAATGACAGCTGAGTCAAAGTCACTGTCCAAGGAGTTGCCGCAGCACTATGCCAAGTCCTTTGCAGAGCAAGTGGCTGTGCTGGGCGAGTTTCATACCCAGTGGATCTGAGTGGGAATCATCTCGCTACAAAGGTGTTTTGAGTCAAAACGATTTCTCCAATTCTATCTCACTGTGTGTGTGTGTCGCTTTGCAGACTTCTCACCGATTGCAGTACATGTTCCAAGGTCTTCAAAAGAGAGCGTTGTTTTCTTGGGAAAGGCACGGGGTGTTTGATCCATGTGTGGCTTAGTTGTGTCATTTTGGTTTGCAGGTGCTGTGGATGTGACATCGTCTTTTCACTCTTTGCTTGAACCCCAAAACTACCAGGAATAGTTGACCAGAGAGGTTCTGTTCAGCCACCCAGCTATCACCCAGCTCGACCAAACCTGGTTACCTTTGCAAGGTGTAAACATTTCATTCAAAGCATCCGAACTTGGGTTGTGCGCTTCTTGGAAGGCATCAAAGCTTATTCAGCAAACACAGCAACACTTGGAAGGGGTGGCGGCCTTGGCATATTGCATCCACCACCGCTTTCATCAGACACTGATATAAGTGGCGAGGTTGGAAAGGCCTTGCATGAAGCCAAAGAGGCCAAGACGGCCAAGCCTTGCTGTCAGCTGCTACACCTTTGACTGTTGCTTGCTCTCAATCTTGAAAACCTTGATGCTATCATGCTTAATCATGCTTGATCTGTTGCTCAAAAGCCTTCTTGAGATATGCGTTCGAGGATTTGTTTCAGCCTAGCAACTTCAGATTGACAGGGACCAAATGCATATTATTCATGTATTTGCCTTGTGTGACTCTTGACTCTACAGACTCTAAAGGAAGTGAAATGGCATAGTTTGGTCCAAAGCCGGAAGATTCCACAGCGGTGTTGTTTGAAAGCCCACACATTCCCATGGGTTCCTTTGCCTGTGAAAAGTGCTATGGGAGTCGTCGGGTCCGGGGCACAGAATTCATGTGTCAATCTGGAGTTGTTGACCAGTTCTCATGACAACGGACGAGTTGCAATGATATTGCGAGCGAGTTTCCCTAAAATTTAAGTTTTACCCCTTCAAAGCTGTCCCAATTCACATTTAAGAGGCTGTTGAAGCCTTTGAGTGAGCTATTTTCATAAAGTTGTGACCAAAGGTGCAGCCGCTGCGAAAGTTACAAGGACAGAAACTGCATTGAGATGGCGTTTTGGTCCTTAACGAGCCTGAAAAACATCCCTTAACATCCCTAGTCTCCAGCCGAGGAGACTTCCAAAGTGAAGCTGCTCAAGGAGTCGTTGACCCCATTGGCCAGTGATAGCATCGCCATTTTGGTCCTGATCTCAACATCGACAGATCGATGTCCGACTCGGGACATTCGCGGGTCTCTCAGGATCTCACCGGACAGTCCTTGGGAAACACAGGCCGCGCCAGCCATTCAGCCATGTAAACTATGCACAAAAAACATAGGTATAGCCTATAGGATAACATAGGTATAGCACATAGGTATAGCACTTAATATAGAAAGATATAGAACGGTACTGTATAGAAAGTAAGGAAAGGCCTTGGAGAAATGCCAGTCGTTGTCGTTTACAAAACTGTTTCCCAAACCTCGTGCAGCAAGACCCTTGCATCTCATTTGTTTTCTTCTTTTTCCTCTTGTTTTTTGTTTGTTACTGTTTATTACTGTTTGTTACTGTTTGTTCATGTCAGTGGGGTCAGCCGATGGAACTGGTCTATGTTGCAAGTTGCCCAAGACATTGCAGTTTCCACACTCATACCTGGGTAGCTTGAGGTTTGGATTTGATGGATGGATTTCGATAAATTTCACTCATTCTGTACCGGTGATTTTCCATCAAAACACCAGGCACTCTTCTCTTGGCGCATGGGGGCATGGGTTTGGCTTAGTCACTGGCAGGGGCTGTGGTTTTGGCTGATGCCTTGAGGGCAGGATGCCAAGGGAAACGTCAGCATATCAAAGATCTTTCAGCGATCATTCTGCTGTGTCCCTCCATTCAAAGTGCTTAGGGCAACTCATCACTTCGGAGTCTTTGTCAGGGACTCAGCAAAAAAACCTGACAAAGATTCGAAAACACTGGACGTTCTTTCAAGATGGAACAAAGCTGATCCAAATTCAACTCGTTCGCGTTCCAAGGCCTGCGGTGGAACTCCATCCAAGAAAGTGGCGCTTCAGCTCTGAGCCCACGTGATGTTTCGTGATGTTTCGTGATGGCAGCCACAGTTTTGTGATATTTTGATGCGTTTAGGCTCTGGCGCTGGCGCTGAAAGATAGCCAACTTCGAAGTGCACGGCTCAAGGCCACAATTTTTTGCACACCGAAACCTCGAGCGTCTCGAGCCAGTCGCAGCCACCAAGGTTTGGATGCTTTCTGCAATTCCTTCGGCAACAGCAGGGGAACTTAGTGACGCTCCGTGTGTCAACGGTCCCTTTTCTGTGTCAACTTTGACAACCACTGTCAGAGGTGGCGTTCTCCATTTGGACATGGCCTTAGATGTGCGAGGAACTTTGTGTGACATTCCCAAAAGCAATAAAGACATACAAAGACATACGAAGACAACAAACATGCGAGGCTCGTGCCTTGGAAGGGCACCCATACCTCACCGACTTGGACCTGGGTGCGGCAACGATCGCGCAAGATCATGAGAGATCAATGTCATGGAGAAGCAAAGTCACTCATGAAGTGATCAAGTGATATTAAGTGATTAGGTATTTGTTTGAAGGATGTTTATAATTGGTCTTTTGAAGTCTTTTGGTGAATGTACAATGGACAAATCTTCCGAATCTTCTGCATTCCACGGAGGCTGGAATTCAGTGGGAGATGAAGGAGCTGCTGGAAGCCTAGAGGACTGTCCAAACAGTCACAACATGTTTATAACATTTTTACAACAAGGCTACTAGGTGTCAAGTCTAGCTTAGTCCCGTTTTCGCAGGCCAGTAAAGATGAAGGTAGTCTTAATTCACCACACACTGTGCCGCTGTGCTGTCCAGATTTTGATTTTTATGCTTGCAATTCACTTAGTATATGCCATATAATTCGTATGTACATTGTTTGGCTTCCCTTGCTGAACCAGCAGGCAGTTGTCTCTAGTAGTGTTTGCATGTTTTTGCCTTGCATTTAGGCAGCCCTGGCTGACTTCTTGACAAAGAATGTCACCCTCTGTGATCTAGGTACAGAATGGCACAGATAGAGCTGGGTCCCACCAACTCTCCGCTTAGATTTTGGAAAATGCATCGAGTGTTCCACTTCGTTTTTTAGTCGCTATATGTCGCTATTCAAAAAACGATGTGTGCTTCACAAACTCAGCCGCCTCAGAATTCTTGAACATCTAACTGAGGTAAGTGGGGTCAACTGGGGACATCAGTCATAGCTCCAAAGGTGATGTAGCACACACTCGACAGCCTCATTCATTTGTGTGTTGAAGGCCTTGAGCAGAATCTCATTAAAGAAAAGGGTGCAAAGATGCTGGCGGAGGCCAAGCACCAAAGTTTTTTCCACGGTCGATGAAATCCATTGACTAGATTAAAGGAAACAAAGAAATAAACCAAGAAATGAACAAAGAAATGATAGAAACAAAGAAAGAAACGAAAGCTTTGGCTCTATCGAGGAGTGCTCGCTTGGACGATCACGGCTCTTGTGACGGAGATTGATCCAAGATTTCAGGCTTTGCAGCAGAGCAACCTTCTGAAGCTTCGTCTGAATGGCAATCCACTTGGTGAGGCGAGGAATGATAGGAATCGAGAATTTTCGAACAGATTGTCAGTCAAAGAGTTTGGTGCTGTCTCTTCTTGGCACCGTCCATTGTTCTTGTGTGTTTTGTTGTTCTAGTTGACACATGCAAGCTGGTCCCTTCTTTGATTCTCTTTGCGGTGTTGGCTTGTTCCGTTCACGAAGTGCTGCCCTGCAAATCGTTGCAGCAACGCTAATTTTATAAAAACAATCTGCAGGGTTTTCATCAATTTCCCCCTGGATGCAATTCAAGGAGTGCATCACAGTGTTTGCCTCATGTTTTACAGGAAACAAAACCCAACAGGATATTTTTATGTTTTTTAGTGATACCAAAAAACTTACCGGTGCTGAATGGGGGGAATTGGGGGATTTCTCCGACCCATAGGTCCACAATTTAAAACGGGAAAAACATCCCATGATTGGACCATTCAGCAGATGCGCAGGCTGGGGTCCAAGCCTTTGAGATGGTCAGGCAGATCGCTGCCATGTCCTGCCGTTTTTGAAATGTCTGCTTTGAAAGTCGGGAGATACCTTCAATGCACCACAATATTTATGGCGAATTTGATGGGATGATAAATTCTGATTATCAATCATCAAACTTGGAGGGTACCATATTTTCAGACGAACATTTATCTTAGGGGAATTTCCAATGGCCAGGCCTGATGTGGACATGTTCAATTCTGCGAGGCGGGGCATGGCCCGTGTGTACTTCATTGCCACTGCAGCACATGGATCAACGGTTGTTTAAGTGTCAAAGCCACGGTTCAGGTCTCATGGCAAAGAAATTCCCAAGACAGATGAAAGCGAGAGAGCCTTCAGTTTGATACTTAGTGCTTCCATAGGTTTCCATAGGTTTCCCAAACGGTTTCCTCAAAGTTCAGCTTTCTTTGGCTCTTTGAATTCATCACGTGGGATCCTTACCGTTTTAACGTTCAAGAAATGCCTGACATGGGCAGTGTTGAAACATGCACCTCCGGTGCTCTCAGGACTGTCCTTAGGGTTCAACGCCTTCGGTGCCGGAAAAGCTGGGTGTGAAGAAAGGGCTGGAAGCAACGATGACCCAGCTGACCTATAGTCGATGAATCGATGCTGAACAAACCTGAAGCATTCCGAATTTGACCTGGTCCATGCTGCAAATGCCTTGGACTCATTGGAGATGCAGAGAACATGCAGCTTCCAGGAGCTTCCAGGAGCTTCGTTGGCACATCGCACTTTTGGGTCGATGCCAGAAACGATTCTGCCAGTTGCCGCCTCTGCAACGGCTGAGCGGAACGAAAGGAACTTTGCAGCGGAACAATTCCCCCGTGGCCAAGACACTGACCGCCAGGTCGGCACACGGTGTGGAAACAGAGTCCAAAGCACGCAGCCGTACCACGGTTCCCAGACGGTTCCCGGACGGTTCCCACTATGCTCGTGCTGAATTTCCACGGCTCCCCTACCCAGGAAAGGTCAGCAGTCGATCAGGCAAAGTGCTTATAGCAGCACTGATCTTAGTCTTTAGATGTCTTTAGGCTCAATTTGTGCAGCAGTTTGATCCATCTTCGGTTCCCTTCAACTGGTGTTGGTGGATTGGCGCATAGATCTGGAATCCATGTTTCACAGCATCAAGCGCTGCTAGCCACGTCTCACGATTTCTCACTGTGGCGGTGCCTTCCCAAAAAACTTTGCCCTCCTGCTTGCAGTCCAGCATCAGATGTTGCATGCCATGTATTGGCAGCTTTGCCTGGCAGGCTGGGCTAGTTGGCAGGACGCATTTGCAGAGCTGTGCAGTGGCTATTCTGACACATTTTTTGATCCAACTGATCCAACCCAAAGCTGATCCAACTGTGTGCTTGACCAAAGTGCAGGAGATATGCAGCACTGCAAGCCGTAGCAGCTGATGTTGCATTCTTGGATTTGAGATTTCATGAGATGATTTTAGTCACTTTCGTGGATTTTGTGTAATGTGTGGTGTGTTGGCAAGGCTTGGCAGGCTTGGCAGTATCCAGTCGAATTTCATCGCTCAAAGTGCTCAGGCCGCCAAAGAAGCGGAAGCTGCCAAAGTCGCGGCAGAGGGTCCGCGGCGAAGAGTGCATAGTGATGAATACAATTTCCTTGATTTCCTTATCATTTCAAAGTTCTCACTTGACTGATACTGATCTGAATGAATCTTGGTTGGAATTTGTTGATGTTAATCTCGTTTGTGGTTCATTTGTGGCTGCTTTCAGCGGAGGTGCGAAACGGTTCTGCAATTTGCGATAGCCTCAAAAGGGAATGCGTTGCTGCCGAGTGGAAGGAAGTAGCTTTCCTTTGTGACCCCGAACTACACCGAGGGCTACGCAAAATGCCAACTCCGGCCCACTGCAGAAGGCTTGTCAACAGACGCTTTATCGGTCGTCCCAAATCACGCTACAATATCCACGCCCATTACATCCCATGCTGGATGCCGGGAAAATAGCAGACATGTAGTTTCTGTAGTTTCATTCGGAGTTTCAGGCTGAGCAGCAGGGAAGAGCTCTGATCACCGAGCCGCTTATCGCATCAATGGAGGCGAGCCCGACCGGACAGATGACTGACACGTCTGAAGATCCGTCTCTCAAAAGCCTCAGGCAACACATGGTCCTGAGAACCTTGTGACACCTTGGTCAAGCCGGAAACACAGATGTTGGTCATTGCTTTGTGAAGCTCTGTTGGTTACAACTCCGTTACCAGATCCAAGATATTTGTTCAGGATATGCATCACACCCACCTGGTCTCTACTGTGAACAGGCACATCGCTTTCAGAATTGGTTCTTGTTTTGGCACGAAGATTCACTGCTTGCACTATTTCATGTTTTGTGCATGCCATGCGAGGTCTGCGAAAATCGTCCTGATACATTGTGACCAGATTTGAGAAAGCACATGCAGCTGTGGGGAAAAACAGAAAAAAGGAGCAAAAGAGATTTCGCAAGGAGTTGATGTGTCAAGAGAAACGGTCTCAGGTACTTGCGAAACCTATATGGTGGAAATGGAATTCACGGCTACAACTGATTCATACTGGTTCCATGTCATGAGTACTATGTCAATCACTTTGTTCCGTCTGCAGGTTTTGGCTCCAAAAGCGCGATGTGTTTGCACCGAGGCAGCGAGATCCGTTTGCTGCACCGGCGGTTGAACACATCCCAGGGCTATCCTGGCTACAGCTTCTTGTGAGCAGGTTCTGTTTCCAGGTTGGTACAGGATTCCGCATATCAGCGGGTGCCTGACTGCGTATCTGCTCGGAGGAATAGTAAGAATTTCAACCCTTTTGATATTGGTTGAGCCTTGTCAGAGCTTTCGCTGACCAACTGTGAGAATTACCTCGTGCCAAGAATTCCACCCCCCGCTTCAACCAAAGCTGGTATTGGCTTTGGGCTCTAATATGAGGCACTCTGCTCAAGGTCTTGATGTAAAATTGTTTGCGATGCAAACTATTATTTTGTATTTGTGTTGTATTGTTTGGATATTCATTTTTTCGATTGTTTATAGTATATGTTTAATATATTTTGTTTAATGTGGTATTTTATTTTAACAAGAAAAGACCTTGCTTTTTTACGTTTTCGGGCCATCCTTCGCTTAGTTTTCTAACTTATTTATATATATGTTATATATTTAGTTGTTTTAAATATAGTATAATGCTTTATTATTTTTTATTTATATATATATATAAATATTTAATTAAAAAATATTTAAAATATTTAAATAAAAATATTTTATAATAATTTAATATAATTTAAAATATATTATAAAAATAAATATTTATAATAAAATAAAATATTATTCCCCACGTTCTTGTTTTT